GAAGTGTTATCTCCAAGTTGCTTTCCTTTCCCTTCGACCCTCCCTCCCGTCGTCAGTCCAGAGAGCAGACTTGGTGGTAGCGCTGCGGGAGCGGTATTCATAATCCGCTTGCGTCGTCGCCTTGTGAGGCTTGGCAGGGCTCGGGCGTGGGGAGACGGGAATGGTTGTGGAGTCAGTGCGCTGTTTGATGTATTGACTCGTGGAAAAATATGCCTTTGTAACGCGAGGAGATTGTTACGTTTCTTCTTTTTCTTGCCCTCACCGTCTCTCAGTCCACCACCACCAATTTATTGAAGAAAGTTTTGGCAGGTGTTTTATCGGCACGACGAAAGCTGGTCTCTTCGTCAGCAGCTTTGATCAATCCACTGCTGGATGGAGGCTTCCCCTCCTCCCCCCCAAGCTGTAACTGCTAGGGTGGGCGAGATGTTAACTCCCTCGTCTGGTATGCAGGAGTGCGTGGCTTCGATCGCGACCCTGATGCCTGTATATTTGGAGTTTGCGTGTCTCTCTCGCTGTGATCACATGGATTTTTCTATGGGGCCTCCGGTTTAATACTCCACATTTATAAACGTGTGTTTGGAGTATTTGGCTGCTATACATTTCCACGTGATAAGTCGCTTCGTTGAGCTATCATTTGTGGCCCGGTCGCTTCTGGAAAAAAGCTACGTAGCTCAGTGGGCCTTACCTAGTAAAATTAACAACAATAGATACTCTTTGGTTCTTTCGGTAAAGTCACGTAGATGGAAAATTAATCCTACGTCAGCAGTTCTCCTGCTGTGTTTGTTTCACCTGATGACGGTTGCGTGTGTTGCGATAGAAACGTCGTGATCTATTAAGTTTGCATCTACGTGACTTTACCGAAAGAACCAAAGAGTATGGATTCCTGCAGTCACGAAAGCTTCAAATCAAGATACAAAAAAATTGCTTCATAGTTTTTGGATTATCTTTCTACGATGTGCAATCGATAGCTGAGAGACATGCAGACAACTTACCTCCAATGGCCTCATCTCCAGAGCCAGCCCCATCTTGATCAGGCTCGCCTGATACTCGGACCGCTTATTCTACCAAAACAAAATTGAGAACCCACGTTCTAATGCGTTCTCATTCGTGTTCCTGTGGGAGTCAAGAGGTGAAGAAACGTCCTGCAGTCAGCAGAGCCTCGCATTGGAATAAAAGAACCACTTCAGTCGGTGCAACTTAAGTGGCCATATTCTTAGCTCTTTCGGTAAAGTCACGTTGAAGGGAAACAATAAAATAATAAAATATATATAAAACAATAAAAATTCTCACGACGTTTCGACCATAACACAAACGGTCGTCATCAGACATGATGACGACCGTTTGTGTCATCAGACCTGATGACGACCGTTTGTGTTATGGTCGAAACGTGATAATTTTTATTTTATATATATTTGATTATTTTATTGTTTCCCTTCAACGTGACTTTACCGAAAGAGCTATGAATTACTGCAGTCACGAAAGCTTTAAATCAAAATTTAAGTGGCCATCTTAATATATACTTGAAGTTGAAAGAGCTTCAACTTGAAACTTTTAATAATAAAATTGTCAATTACACATCTGTTGCCAGATAAAGGCCCCTCCCCGTGCCGTGTTCTTACCTGATTCTTGACGGCGCCGCAAGACTGAACCTTTTTGTCGTAGCAGAGAATTAAGTCAATCCTGCGGACTCCATCACGAAAGTAGACAGTGTTCTTTTGGGGAGGCATATCAGGACCCTTAAGTACGCGCACACGCAAGCACACCCGCACAGGTCATGAATGAACGTTATGGATGTTAGAATGAATATTAATTCGTAAGCTCACAATATGTGCTTTGGTACAAGCTTCGATATTGTTTTGTCAGGAGGATCTTGCCAAATTTTCATAGTAGGGGCCCGTGTCTCTCAGTGTAATCCCAGTTGTTTGGCGAATACCAGTTACATTTTACGTGGGGGTTTGTGTTAGATATGGGAGGAACCCGTACCACCCGAAGGCAACCCATGCAGAAAAGGTAGAGAATACACAAACTCCACACGGACAGTTCCCGAATCGAGAATGGAACCCTCTTGTTGTAAGACACAAGTGTTACAACGCCACAACCCTGCCACCTACATATGATCCCTGCATCCACTAGAGGCCACTAAATGTGAAACTTTATAAAGGAAACATTCTTGAAAGTGACCCTGAAATGTCAACATTCATCTCACTCCTCGTGGGTGCTTGGGTGATATTAGTTTCCCGTAACTTTGCGATTGTTTTCAGATTTGTTTTGTGTTCTTTTCACGCTTGGTCATACTTAAATGTGTGAACGTGTTTCATTGGCTGCACCTCCAGTGCAAATAAAGATCACGTAACAGTTATTTAATTGCAGTTCACTCAGCATAAGCCTGCCACGAGTCAAATCACTGCAATTTCGCAACCTACAATGTTTGTTCTTACATATATTTTTTATTGCAGATGGTGTCAGTTACACAATAAATAATTGATTAAATTTCCCATTCTTTTACTCTTTGTTTCTTTCGGTAAAGTCACGTAGAAAGAGAAAATAATAAATTAAATTAAAGCATACGACGTTTCGATTGCAACACAAGCAATCATCATCAGTAATCAACCAGGTAGGGTGTTGACTGTTATGTTAGCCGACTATCTGTGTTGTATTGCATTATATTTCTAAGTGTACTAGGTTTGTTTTCTCTTTCATTTGTACCTGATGATGATTGCTTGTGTTGCAATCGAAACCTCGTGTGTTTATTATTTTCTCTTTCTGCGTGACTTTACCGAAAGAACCAAAGAGTAATTCCTGGAGTCACGAAAGCGCCAAATCAAGTTTGTTCATTCTTTGTTGATGCTGCATTAGATGTTGCATACAACTTAAAATAACAAACACAAATCTACTTATTTGCCAATAACACTGCCTTCAAGGAAAAAAAAGGTACAGTTTTTAAGGTGATGTTATTTAGAACTGTTTGAGTTTTTTTTAAATATTTGTGCTTATGAAAAAGAAAATGCCAGAAAATATGTCACGTGTTAATTATTTACAAAAACTTGTCAGGCGTTTCTATATAATGAGCTACAATAATCACCATTTTCTATTAACAAATTATTTGGTTATTGTGACCTTGTGTCCTATGATTTATTGTAATATCAATGTAACAGAAATCCTACATGTTCAGGATACATTGTTACATTAATTAAACTTGCTTAGTACACTCACAATAACCGCATGGGATAGCGCGTGTGAGAATCAATTATTTATGATGTATGAAAATAATGTCTACATTTCACTTGTCTCGAATTTGTTTCTGACGTGCATCGATGATTCGGTATTTGTCCATTTTATTGATGCATCATCAGAAGTGTTATTCACTTCCCCGGTGAACCAGTACGAAGAGTCACAAATTGGGGAACTCAATTCTACGTCAACAACAAAAACTCGACCAAACTATGTTTTATTTCACCAGATAAGGCCCACTGAGCTGTCTAGCTTTTTTTCAGAAGCGGCCTGGCCACAGATGATAGCTCAACCAAGTGGCTCATCGCGTGGAAATGTATAGCAGCCATATACTCTTAACGCGTGTTTATAAGTGTGGAGGATTAAACCGGAGGACCCGGAGAAAAATCCACACAACCACAGGGAGAGAGAGAGAGAGAGACACGCAAACTCCAAATATACAGGCGTCAGGGTCGGGGTCGAATCCATCTCTCCCCCGTGGTTTATTGGATTTTTTTTCCGTTTCCTCCGCTTTTTCCCTCCGCGTTTAGGATCAACGTCGCGCGTTTCCAGTATTTGGCTACCGTTATAAATTCCCACACGACGAGAAGCCACTTCGTTGAGCCAATCATTTGTGATCGCCAGGTCCCTTTTGCAAAGGAGCTACAGGACTCAGTGGGCCTTACCTGGTAAAATAAAAACAGTTTAAATAGTTTTAGTCTCTCGGGGTCCTGCGACGTGACGATCCACCGAGCGCGTGCTCCGCGCGAGCCGATTCCATCGCTCCGTCTCCGCGGTGGACGTCGACGCGGAGAGATTTTTCGTTTTGATGCTGCTGCAGAGTAACGGTTATCCGGGCGGTGGGCTTGTGGCAGTCCAGAGGCCGCCGGTTCCACTCCATCGCCCGGTGCCGCCTCCGTCCACCCGGCGGTGTAAATGGGTACGAATTACAGGTGGCATGTGGTGGGGTGCATTGTGGTACAAGAGGACGTGGAGCTGAGTGGATTTGCCAACGACTGGTACCAGTGGTGTCAAGTTCGGCCTCAGTGGTGGATGAGGCTCGTGAAAGGACCCTACTGGGCAGTTGGAGGCAGTGGCCCTCCAGTAGCAACGGAGAGCAGAGGATCGACGCTCACAACAACGAGCGGAGCACCAGGCAGCTAAAACACAGCATGTTGGCACAGTAGGGGGCACAGGTGTGTTGCTTCGGCCAGTCATCTCAAGTCAGTCAAGCCATGGCACCTGGATCTGTCCCGTGACCTCCTGCCAGCAGGCATTCAACACTTCATGTAGTCTTAAAGGGCATATGGCCTGGCGCAGCCGCCGTGGTGATGTCACCGGTGCTTCGTGATGAATGGCGGTTGTTGTAAGTGCTGCACACTTCTTCCAAGACTTGACGGGCCAAATAACCTCGAGGCTTTTTTCGAGCTGTCTCGCACGATGTATGTGGGATAAGGAGACGGGACATTGCTAGAAAACATCGCCTGTTGCTTTTAAGGCCACAGTGTTGTTGTTATTGACGAGCCTGTTGAGTCTTTTTGTTGATTGTGTTATTTACTCCCTCCCCTGTGGGGGGCACTTCTGCCAGCGTTGGTCGTTGCAGGGCTGCCACTCTTTCTCCACCATCTCAGTGGTCCTCTCGAGCTCGGCGAGCCGGGTCCGTGCGGCGAGCGGTCGCAACGACGCAGCGTCGCTATCGTTACGAACACGCGTGTCTTTGTCATCGTCGTCATCCTTAATCTCTTCCCCCACCCCACCTCCACCGCCGCCCCCACTGCCTTGCCCTTTAGCCTCCATCGAGAGGATCGAACGCAAGAACCTGTCGAAGAGGAAGGGGGAAAGGTGCACCGAGTATTACCTGGAGGTGAGCGAGAAACATCGCCCGCCCTGCGACCGCGGTCGGGGGTCTGGAGTCGCGTCGCCGCACCCATCCGTCGCACGGTGCTACAACGGCGTGCCCCCCACCCCTCTCGTTTCGGTCTTACCCTTGCCCGCGCTCGCGCTCTCATGATTGAACCTCTCGCCGCTCAGGTGTTTTGGTCGGACGGCTCGACGGTGACCCTGTCCAAGACGTACCAGGAACTTCACGACTTTCTCTCCAAGGTCGGTGCCGCCGTAAGCCGCGTGGGCGTTGTCGCCAGGAGGTTGCGTCGAATTGCTTGGTAGCGGCAAGGGTCCGTGGCGGGTGGGTGGAGGGGGGGGTGCGGGGGTGGTGGAGGTGGGGTAACTGTAGTAATGCCGTCCGCGCCTGGTAATGCGCTGTCAAAAGTGGAAACAGATGTGTGCCCGCGTGCCCACGTGCGTGCGCGTCAGTGAGTCAGACGAAAGAGACGAGAAACATTGTCGTCTGGACGAGAGTGGCGTCTAGTAGTGGTAATGGTAGGAGCCGCAAAGGACTCTAATCTTAGTAGTCTTATTGTGTGTTCATCACTTTCTGTAGCTTTGCAACCCTGTGGGTTTTTTTTTTACCACTGTAGATTCATGCAGCTGTAGATTGTACATACGCCGCTAGTGGGGATAAATTATTAAAATAATTTGTAAATTTTATTTTGAAGCCCTGATCACAACAGTTGACTCGACCATCACATCATGAAGAGACTGAATCGTAATGCAATGTATTCTAGCGGCAGGAACACCAAAGGATTCATTCTCAGATTTGGAATATTCCAGAGTAAGCGACGGACCAAATTTAATAACGATTTTTTTTCTCGTGTCAAATTATTATCGGTGACCGAATGGAGTCCATCAGCTTGGTAGACTTGATGAGAACCTGCTTTTAATTACAACTCATTCCATGTGAGTCTATCTGTGTGAGTCTATGGGTATTTTTGTGAGTCTATGGGTTTCTTTGTGGTGAGTCTGTGGGTCTCTTTTTGTGAATCTCTGGATCTCTATGTGAGTCTATTGGTCTGTGTGTGAGTCTGTGGGTGAGCCATTGGTGACTGGCTTGAGACCATCAACCATCAACTCTCCAGAGCCCAGTCTTTGTGGGTCTCTATGTGAGCCTATGTGTTTCTATGTGAGTGTGTGTTCTCTCTGCGAGTGCATGGGTTTCTATGTAAGTCCATGGGTCTCTTTGAGAATTCCCCCCCCGTTTAGCACACAATTGATAGATTGGGCTGCTCAACAAATCCGTCTGATGCCTCTAAACCTCGTTTTTGTCTCAGCTCCCTCAAATCTTCCCCAACGACCACCTGGAGAGGCTCTTCCCACCCCCGCCGGCCCGGGGGGCGACGGCATTCTCCACCCACCGCACCAACTCCTCGACGGAGAGACCCACCCCGTCGGCGGAGAGGGCCCTTCCTCCGCGGTCCCCGTGCCCGAGCCCCGGCCCGTCGGCCCCGTCGCCGACGCGGAATCACGATCGCTCGGCCTGCGGGCCCCGCTCGTCCCCGACGAGGCCCCACTCGTCGGCGGGGCGCGACGTGAGGATGACGATGACGACGGGCGTGGGGGCGGCCGCGCGACCTCCGACCCCGCGCACGCGGAGCAACTCGCGCGACAAGCAGGCGGAGCGTGCCGACACGCCCTCGTCGGCGGTGGGCGGAGGGGGTGGGCGGCACGCGCGGCCCAGGAGCCGGGATGAGCGGCACGGCTCGTCGGTAGCGCCACCGGCGAGCTACGACGGGCGGGCCAACGGCGTGGAGGAGCGAGCGGAGCGAGCGGAGTGGGCCCCGCCGGGCCGGATCGTTTCGCCTGGGCGGCACGCGCACGGGAGGACGCGGGACGACGTGACGGACCGGCAACGCTGCCTGCCGACACGGTCGCCAACTAGATCGCCGCTGCCGACGGAGAAGGGCGGCGGTGCCGGCGGTGGCAGAGCGGTGGTGTTCCACTCGCCTCCGGTGCACGGCGAGAAAAGGCCGGTGGACGTGGAGGCGGCGATGAGGTGAGTGGCTGTCATCGAGCTCCACCACCACAGGGTTTAATTTTCTCACCGAACATTTTTTTCCGGGGTCGCAGGTAGACCGGAGTCGGTGGCTCGCGACTAGTAGCCACGGCCAATAGCGAGAGGCATACTGGATGTGGTGGGCCGGGTGTGGGAATATTTTCTCGGTGGTTGACCCAGAGTGTGTGGGCGGTCATTTATAGAGTAAACTAGTAGCCACGGCCAATAGCGAGAGGCATACTGGATGTGGTGGGCCGGGTGTGGGAATATTTTCTCGGTGGTTGACCCAGAGTGTGTGGGCGGTCATTTATAGAGTAAACTGTTGGTCACAATGCGTACCTGAGCTCTACTTTCCTGACTGTCCAACGCGCATTCAAATCTTTGTTATTGAATTAAAATACAGTGGACCCCCTCTTAACAACCACGCCTGTTAACGACTAATCGCTTAACGACGGCCCTCCATAGAGCCCAATGTGTGGTGTATAGTGTAGTGTATAGTAGTGTAGTGTATAGTGTAGTGTATAGTCGTGGAGAGTAGACCCCCTCTTAACGACCACCCCTGTTGACTAATCGCTTAACGACGGTCTTCATAGAGCCCAATATGTAGTGTATAGTAGTGTAGTGTATAGGGTAGTGTATAGTAGTGTATAGTAGTGAAGTGTATAGTAGTGTAGTATATAGTAGTGTAGTGTAGTAGTGTGTAGAGGTGTATAGTAGTTTATGGTAGTGTAGTGTATAGTAGTGTAGTGTATAGTAGTGTAGTTTATAGTAGTGTAGTAGTGTGTAGTGTATAGTAGTGTAGTGTATAGTAGTGTAGTGTATAGTAGTGTCGTCTATAGTGTAGTACAGTGAGGGAAAAGAGTATTTGATCCCCTGCTGATTTTGTACGTTTGCCCACTGACAAAGAAATTATCAGTTTATAATTTTAATGGTAGGTTTATTTGAACAGTGAGAGACAGAATAACAACAAAAAAATCCAGAAAAACACATGTAAAAAAAAAATGTGGGGGGGGAGGTGGCACGTGCCCCCCCAATGATCCAATCGAAATCCCTAATTTAGATCGGATCATTGGGGTTTATTAGTAATAAATCGGCATTTTGTGACCCCCACTGCCACTGTGTAGCATATTATTACGTGCCAGGGACTCTATGAGAAGATATGACAATAGTCTGAGTCCATAATTGGCAATAAGTACCGGCAAAGCGGTTATAAGTGACTCACAGAATTGTGCGCAGTTGCGTTTACAGTACACGACGTCCCTGAAGGCATCAACACCTTCAGCGAGCGCGATGCCGATCACACAACGCGGTTCGAATTCGACCCTCGATCGATGGCTGCGCCATCGCCGCACACGCGTCGAATAAAAAGCAGGGGACAAGTCCTTACTTACTAACAACTCCTTACTTACTAACAACTCCTTACTCACTAACAACTCCTATCGTTTTTCATTGCTGGAGGGGTTGCCCTCCCCCTACCTGAAAATCCTGGCTCCGCCATTGGATGAGAGTACGCCGCCACATACTGTAGCGTTCGGCGCGTACCCCCAGAATTCCCACACCGCTCGGCCGCCGCAGCTCAAGAAAGCAGTTCATCGTCGACCGCTCAGAATCCGCGTTACAACGGCACGCGTTCCGCATTATAACGGCACGCGTTCCGCATTATAACGGCACGCGTTCCGCATTATAACGGCACGCGTTCCGCATTATAACGGCACGCGTTCCGCGTTGTGCGAAAAGTGTTCCCGAATAGAAGAACCGCTTCGGAGCGAAAACGCGTGGCTTGAACACCACGCTGTTAACCGAGGACTTACTCTGCCATCCACAAATACCACTGCCGCCTGTGACTAAACGGGGTCCTCAGATGTAGTGACTGGATGTATGTGCAGTATGTTGAACTTCTTTCGCACCGTACATAGCCAACTGTGCTAATCGGAGGTGCGGGGGAAGGACAACAAACTAAGCACAACAACAGCAAATAGTTCTAAAAGAATTTTTTTTCAATCTAGACTTAAAAGTAAATACTCTTTGGTTCTTTCGGTAAAGTCACGTAGGTAGAAATAAAATTTAAATGAAACGTGTGTGGATTCCTGCAGTCACGAAAGCTTCAAATCAAGATTAAAAGTAAATACCCAGTCACCAGTGGCTGCAAAAGCAGCCCTGATCACATACAATTTAGGTTTTCTCACTTGACTTGGCTAAATGCCAGCCCTGAGAATTAAAAATATCAGTTTGACCCATCGGGCGACGAACATTACCCTCGTGTGTCATAGTGGGTGGGAAAGTGCTGCCCCCCTCCTGTACATGGACCAGAGGGGGCACTCGAAGGTGGGGGGGGGGGGGGGGCTCTGAGAGATTGCTCCTTGGTATCCGCTTCCGAAACGAGCCCCGTTGTCTTAACGCGACGCTGAGGGTCGACGAGCTAGTCCTGCGACATTTCCCGATGGATTCTTCGTGTCGTGAAGGCTCAGCGCTGTTAGCGCAACCTGCGATGACGTTGCGAGAAAGTATACATTTTTTTTACGTGCGTATAAAAGCCAAACAGGAAGGGCTGCTTGGTGGGATGCTGTGGTGGCTAGGAGATGTTAACTAACCTTGCCTGGTATACAGGGCGGTCGTGGGGTAGATCGCGACCCCGACGCCCGCTGTATATTTGGAGTTTGCATTTCTCTCTCCCCGTGGTTGTGTGGATTTTTCTCCGGGTGCTCCACATTTACAATCGACGTGCCTTTATGGAGTACTTTGCCACTGTAAATTTCCACACGACGATAAGCCACTTTGTCGGGGCCTATCACTTGTGGCAGTCAGGTCGCTTCGAAAAAGAGCTTCATAGACCTCAAGTGGGCCCTGACCTGGTAAAATATATTGTTCAATAGTTTTTAGTCCACCCCTCGCGTCGAACGTTCTCACTGCGCGCGGCACTTGTTCTGTTTTTATTTTTAGCCAAGTCAAGAGGCAGATGAGGTAATGGAACGACAACCCGCTTTCTCTCCCTGGTGGCTCCGTGCAAACAGCTGAGCCTGATGTCACGATGATGGGGAGTTACCCCACGGGAGTGGCACGCACGCCACCCGCCGCATATAGCGACTCGCATCACTTCTCCAACTTTGTCCAGCGGTGGATCGACGAGGCGGCTGTCGAACATTTCGTTATTTCGCTTAACACGTTGTAGTTGTAGGATTTCGCAACCAAATTTTGTCCATGATGGGGGTTCTGTGTGGGTTGGGTCGCGTAAATATAAACGTGTCGTTAAAACCGCCACCGAACCCGACACAGCCAATTAGTCTCAGGTTTGGTCATGTAAACAAAATGTGGCAATTAGTTATGAGTGCAGCACATGGAGAGTAAACCCACAACATCTACAACTCGCGAGTACCGTGATGTTCCGCCTCCTATCTTTCACATTTATGTGTACGTGATCTAACCCATTCCCCCCCCCGCCCCGCTCTGTTATGGATATGAGTTATTTACTCACCATGCTTTTCTGCGCGGTTTGTTCGATTGTTTAATCGGCAACTCCCACCCCTCCCCAACCCCACGACTGCCCTCTCACCCGTTGCTTTTCTGCGGGTGCAAGAATTCAGCCAATAGAGGACCGCAGAGCTTGGGCAATCGTAGGTGCCGCTTCTAGCCGCCTTCCAGCTTGGCGGTGGTTTTTCCCGCGCTCTCTGAATCGTTCTCTCTCTCTGAATCGTTCTCTCTCTCTGAATCGTTCTCTATCTCTCTCTGAATCGTTCTCTCTCTCTGAATCGTTCTCTCTCTCTCTGAATCGTTCTCTCTCTCTCTGAATCGTTCTCTCTCTCTCTCTGAATCGTTCTCTCTCTCTGAATCGTTCTCTCTCTCTCTGAATTGTTCTCTCTCTCTCTGAATCGTTCTCTCTCTCTCTGAATCGTTCTTTCTCTCTGAATCGTTCTCTCTCTCTGAATCGTTCTCTCTCTCTGAATCATTCTCTCTCTCTGAATCGTTCTCTCTCTCTGAATCGTTCTCTCTCTCTCTGAATCGTTCTCTCTCTCTGAATCGTTCTCTCTCTCTGAATCGTTCTCTCTCTCTGAATCGTTCTCTCTCTGAATCGTTCTGTCTCTCTGAATCGTTCTGTCTCAGAATCGTTCGCTCTATATCTATGAATCGTTCTCTCTCTGGGAGCGAATGAAAACTATGCGCGTTATACATTTTAAGTGAATATTTTATTATTATTTATATAGTCGGTATAGTGCCTATAATAGAGGTAAAAAAGCCACTCGGCTTAATTGCGTCGGTTGCTGCTCTCCCATGACAGTAAGGGGGGGGGGGGTCTGCTGTCGCTACTGCGTTACGAGGCATTCCACCTGTTCTACGAGCACAGGGTTATTCTGTGTCTCTTTATCATCATCATTAGCATCGGCCAGCCATGATCAATCTACTGTTGGGTGAAGGCCCTCCCAAGGCCGTCGTCATCCTTCACGCTTATGGGGGACCGCACCACAAATAGGTTCGCTCCACAGACGGACTCGACTCAGCGAGCGGACACCGAATCTAACCGTGTGGGTTCCCGCCATGAATAGATTCAAACACAGATGGGCTGAATCTGGCGAGCGAACCGAATCTAACCGTGGGGGGGACCGCACCACAAAGAGGTTCAATCGCAGATGGACTCAACCCAGCGAGCGGACACCGAATGTGACCGTGCCGGGGTGTGTGTGTGTGTGTGGGGCACCGTGCTGTGGATCGCAGGCAGCTGCTGACGAGCGCGCCGGCCCACGTGCTGCGCAGCGTGCACGTGCGAGGGTTCCTGCACGGCGGATCTCTCGCCAGGGCTCACCACCACCACCACCACCGCGGCAGCGGCGGCATCCGTGAGTGGGTGGGATCCACCTCCCCTCCTCGCTCCGTGCCACGGACGACGGGAAACCTCTCCCCTCCCCTCCTCGCTCCGCGTCGCGCAAGAGCCTTCGCTCACGAGCCTCCGCTCCTCGTTCGAAACTCGCTCGTTGTTCCTGAGCTCCCCCCCCCCCCCCCTCGCGACCCCATTAAGCTCCCCCTCTCATAACCACCAACACCGCCGTTACCGTTCCCTCTTCATATTCTCATCACGTGCCTATCACTCATTAACCTCCGTTCATTGAATCCTTCCGTCGTCGTCAATTTCCCTTTCGCCGAATTTACGCATCATCACAGATTCCTCTCATCTATTTAATTGACCTCATCTCCACCGTTAGAATTTACACGCACGCGTTGTTGTACCGTTCTTGATTCTCTTGTCAAGCGCCTCGGTTAAGTTGCGTGAAGATAAGGTGAGCCCCCCGAGGGGATAACCGCGAACGTCGCGCCAGTTTTCACAATACGCTTGTGCGCGAGCTCGGATTTCACGATTTGATGAGTGTCGTGGTGGGGTTGTCAGCCGCGTCGTCGTTTGCAGCTGCTGTGATTATTGGAGCCGGTCTGAGAATTGCACGTTTAAAGACTGATTAAATGAGAAGCGCTCAATAATGCCGTGGCGCCGTGAGCCACTGTCGTCTCCCTGCGCAGCGAATTACACAGCCCCGTCATAGCTAATTACGTGACCCCGTTAGCGGTACTTACACGACTTAATCGCTAATTTACTGACCTCGTTACCGCCAATTACGTGACCTTGTCATCGCTAATTACACAACCCCGTTATCGCTAATTACGTGACCCCTTTAGCGATACTTACGCGACCTCATCGCCGATTACATGACCTCGCCATGGCTAGTCACACGACCTCGTCATCGCTAATTACGTCACCTCGTTATCGCCAATTCAAGTCCCCTGCGAGGCCGAATGCCGCGTCGTTATGTTTTGTTACTGCCGCGCATGCCGATCGCGCGTGCGACGCGTGCGGCTCACGACTTCCCCTTTCCGCTTTTGTGTGTGCGCGTTCCGTTCCGCTAGACTCGGCGCAGGGCGGCACTCACGTTTCTAAAGAGAGGGCGGCGGTCGGATCGGCTTCGAGAGGTGAGACGTCATTTCCAAGACGGGGACTTGAATGCATTTTTCGTGAGCGGCGTGCCCGCCCCTCCCACCACCATCCCCGCCACCACCCCCCTCGGTCTTCGTCGTTGTAAAGCACGGACGGATGTCACGCGACGGTCGGGCGGCCAGGCGCTCGCCGAGCTAAATCGCCTCCCTTCTGTTCCGTCTGCTCTGGTCCGCGTTTAGGTGGCGGGCAGTTGACGGTGAATGCGTGCAAGTGAGTATTCGACACGCGTGGACGTCGTGTGCAAAGGCAAAGTTCCCCCCACGTAGCCTCAACAGACTGTTGGGGAAAGTGCTATAAGTGAGCACCTATGGAGGCCGGCATGGCAAACGACGGGGTGGGTGGGTAGCTCTACGCCTGGCTGCCTTTGTCTCCTCAGTGACGATGTTTACACACCGCACCAGGTACTCATTTGAGGCTGAGTCGACCTAGGGGAGGTCCAGGATCGGTTCAAATGATCGTCACTGGTGTTGGCCGTGAGCGGGAATCGAACTCGGGTCGCTGGGTTCGTAGCGTAGCGCGCTAACTGCTACACTACCACTCCCCCTCGACACACCCACACACCTGTATGCACGTGTACATGTGACATTTCCCAATCAGGGTGACAGGACAATAAGGGTGGCCGTAGGGGTGGTCCCGAAATGTCAATCTTTTAAAAATGTGGCCCTACATTAATAATATAAATATATTCAAGTTTTATCTAGTAAATACCAGCAAAATAGCAATTTTTGCGGTCTCACCCACCCACCCAGCCCAGCCCTCCACCTCCCCCTTGGATCCACTGTTGGATAAGGGCCTTATAGGGGTCAAGAGGGTTAATTGGCCATCCTTCATCACGCTGGTCAGTGCGGGATGGTGAAGCGGGGGAGGGGTGTTATAGGACTTGCCGCTGACGTTAGCCACGGCCAGGAATTTAACTGAGGGTTTGTCAGGTTCACAGCACAGCATTGCCCCACCGCCCCAATCCCGGTTCAGCCGTCATCAATCCACTGCCTGGATGGAGGCCTCCTCCCCAAGCCGTCGCCATTTCTCTCGCAGTGACGATCCCGTGTCTAGTATCGGGCGCGCGGTGAACGTCCTTTGGCAGCCGCACCCCTATGTTGCTCGTGGGCTGCACATCTGAGCGCGCTTGATCGCGCTTGCTCGTTGCTCGGCACCGTGACGCACGCCCGCGCGCGCTCATTACCGCAACGTGGCAGAACTGTCTAAGGTTGCGCGACTCCACCCCGTCATCCGTGAGTTGGTCCGCTGCCTCCTTAGGAATGCATCGGTTCCCCCTCCTCCCCCTCCGCCCGCCCGCCCTTCCCCCACGCGAGTTGTCATTGTGAAAAATGAAGGCATCAACCTCTGTTGAAACCACGGCGAACGGGACACGCTTTGTTTTGGCGGAATGCACGCTTTACAATTTAACACGTAGGCTTTCGCGATCAGTATTATTTATAGTAAAGGTTTTTGGGTTAGATAGCGTCAGTATAAATGTGTCGCAACCGTCCACCACCCGACACGGCCAATCAGTTACTTCTTCAGCCCACCGGTGTGTTTGAAAAGTGAATCCACAACACATTTTTTACTGATTGGCCATGTCGGGTGGGGTAGGGTTGCGACACATTCATACTTACGCGATCTAACCCAAAAACCATGATTATGGACGCTTTACAATGTTGACCTCTCTCTCTCTCGTTCCCGTCACGAATTTTTTTTTTCTTTTAAAACACCGGCAAAGTGTACCCTGCCATCCAAAGTACGGAAGCGCCACCTACAGCCGTCAAATAGTTGTCCACTGTTCATTCACCAACGCGGGCCGTGTGTGCTCGGCCTGGTGTCAGTTCACTGTTCGATGATGGACTTCCCCATGGCGTGTCGTGCCTCGGGGTTGTTTGACCGTACTTCACCGTGCTGGTCAGCGCCGGTTTGTGATGGGGGGGAAGGACCGGTTCAGGTATCCTTGCTGCCGTTATCCGCGGCCGGGAATCGAAACTCAGGTCACCGAGGCTCATGGCGCAGTGCGCTAACCACTGCGCCGCCGCTCCGCCCCTAACATTGATCAGAGGGTTGCCCGAAAACCAGGTCACTTGAGCCCGTGGCGTGGTTTGCAACGCCGTGCCGCCGTCGCCGGCTGAACGCTCGTGGGGACGGGACGCGCGCTGGGGGCTTGCGAGCGTCGCGTAGGCCAGGCGTGATTTTCTCTTCCTTCGTTGTTTTTCTTTCATTTTTTTTTCATCTTTTCCCGTAGGTCCCTCCCAGGCGGCCCCACGGCCTCGCCGGACCACGGGTCGGTGGGCCGCGCCAGCCCGCAGCTCGCGCTGACCGGCCTGCCGCCCGCGTCGCCCACCTCCCGGCACGGTGATGCCGCGCCGGGCCCGCACGGTTCGGAGGTGGTGGGCGTCCTCGACTGGCTCAAGAAGCTCCGACTGCACAAGTACTACCCCGAGTTCAAGCACCTCAGCATGGAGCAGGTTAGTCTGGTGGTGGTGGTGGTAGCAGTGGTGGTGTCAGTCACTGGTTGTGGCGCTGGCGGTGTTGTTGGTGGGCATCGGTAGTGCAGCAGTTAGCGGCGCTGCACTGCAAACCCGGTGACCCGAGTTCGAATTCCACTCACGGCCACCAACACCGGTGATGATTATCTGAACCGGCCTTGGGCACCCCCTAGGTCGATTCGGCCTCAAATGCGTACCTGGTGCGGTGTTTAAACATCGCCACTAGGGAGACAAAGGCGGCCGGGTGTGGTGCTGGCCACCTGCCCCCTTGTGTGTCGTGCTGGCATTTATAGATGCTCGCGAACAGCACTTGGCCCAACAGTCTGTTACAGGCTATACGGGGGATCTTTGTTTTTGTTGTTGGTAGTGTTGACGGTGTCAGTGGCGTTTGTAGTGTTGTTGGTAGTCGCGGTGTCTGTTGATGGTGATGTCGATGGTATTTTTTGTTGGTGGTGGTGGTGTTGGTGGCAGTGGTGCTTGCGTTGGAGTGAATAGTGGTGCGTGACGCTACCGATTGGTATTTAATCTCTTGGCAATGGTCGATGTGTTTTCCCCGCTCTGCGGAAATCGCCGCGCGTGCAGCCGCCCGCGGGTCGTTAAAACTCGGCGTGCGCCGATTTCCCTCCGTCGGTGCCGCGCATCCACGGGAGGCGTGTTTATATTCCGAGTCAGAATGTTTACACTGGAGGAAAATCCAGGTGAGCTATGAAGCTCTTTTGTCAGAGACGGCCAGTAGGTCAAGACGTTATATTAAACGCCGTGGGTCACGGCCGTGCGCGGAGAAGGCTCGCATCTATGCCCATGGATGGTCAAGGACTCGGGGTCACGCTACGATTCATTAATCAATTCCCGTTTCCGTCCTGTTTTATCCGATTTACTTTGTAACTCCGTTTTTCTTTTTGTTCGTATTAATTGGTGCCGTTTTGTCCGCCCCTAGTCACCGAAATGTATCTTTAGCGTGCCAATTGACATATAACCGCGTGCGCGCACCCACGGCCCTGCTTTGTAAATCAACTGCTGGATGAGGGGCCTCTCCACGCTGCGCGGGTCTTGGGCGGGGTTTACTTGGCCGTGCTTCGTCGCCGCGCCGGTCGGCGCCGGTCGACGAAGGGCGGCGAGTCTCGACGTGGGAGCATAGTACGGCAGCAGCAACAGTGAATTAAGCGGCACTGCCCTCTGCTCTCACTGTAGCCCCGAAGCGGCCTGTTGTTATGCACGGTGAGCTCGCCACACCCCCAACGCAGCGCCGTCCGGTCTCCAACCCTGCTTGGCTTTCGTGTCCGAGATCCGACGAGAAGCGGGGCGCGTTTCTGGATCGTTTGTGACGTAAGGCGCCGAACTTTTCCGAGTCGGGTCAAAGAGACTTCCCCATTCGTGGGCTTCCGGTCGCCGCCGTGGCTTTCGCACGCGCGCGTGCGTGTGTTTGCGTGTGAATTGCGCGTTTTGCGATGTGCGTGTTTTTGTTGTTCGCGATGGCTGACCGCGCACGTCCTTGTCTGTCGGCAGTTCCTGAACCTGAGCGAGGAGGACGTGGATCTGTTTGAGAACCTCACGGAAGGCGCGAAGAAAAAACTCAGGACTCAGCTGGCAAAGTGAGCCCCTTCGACATCCTCCTCCACCCTCCTCCTCACTCCATCACGCATTCGCTCTCTTCTCTCTCCCACTTCACTGCAGCAAACTTCCCCTCCACATTAAGCAGTCACCTTCGCTCACCACTTTGTGCTCCTCCCTGAAAACTCACCTTTTTTTTCCCCATAGCTCACCCCGCGACCGCTTAATCTCACCCCTCATTAAGCACCACCGCCTTTCCTGCTCCCTCTTCATCATCTCATTGCATGGCTACCACTCATTGCCCATTCATTCAATCCATTCATCATCACAGATTCGCCCCATTATTTCCATCTAATTCTATTCACCTCATCTCCACCATTACGCTCACACGTGTACCGTTGTTCCTTCTCTGTCAAGCGCCTCGGTCGAAGCGCTGTATAAATACATTTGAGATAAGATGAGATCATTGGGCCAACGTTGACTCGAAACGGGGAGCGTTCCAGATCGTTTGTGACGGTTGGCGCCTAACTGTCTGAGTCTGGTCGAAGACTTGCTCGGATGGCGAGATGTTAACTACCCCACCTGGTATACAGGAGGTCGTGGGTTCGATCCTGACGCCTGTATATTTGGAGTTTGCATGTTCTCCCCGTGGTCGCGTGGATTTTTCTGCAGATCTTCCGGTTTTTCCCTCCCACAATTAGAAACGTGCGTTTTAGAGTATTTGGCTGCTATAAATTGATAAGCCGCTTCGTTGAGCTATCATTTGTGGCCAAGTCGCTTCTGAAAAAGAGCTACGTAGCTCAGTGGGTCTCACCTGGTGAAATATTTTTTTTTTAGTTTTTAAGAGGTGTTCCTGTCCGTAGGCTTGCGTTTGTCGCCGTGGCTTTAACGCCCATGTGTGGGTGTCTGCGTGTGATTGTGCGTTGTCGGGCGCCGTATAAATTACGGTTAAGATCAGATCAGATCGTTGGGCCAGCGTTAACTTGAATGCGGCCCGCGTGGTTCAGCGGTTTGAGCGAGTGACTCGCAGTCGGGAAGGTTGAGAGTTCAAATCCTGGTTGGGGTGGCCGGGGGGGGTCGACTCTGCTCATCGTCGCCCTCAGGGGGGAGTGGAGGGTCGATCAAATTCGTGCCCCTTTGTGGCGAAGTCAGCTGTGGCTGTAATAACCCCCGCCATAGAAATGTGGAATTTGCCATCGCTGGCTCCCTGACATGTGTGATGTGATGTCGTTGTCGACGATGATGACCGTTCTCTTGTCGTTTTCCAGGGAGCGAGCCGAGAAATTTGGTGGCGTTTCGGAGTCGTACCCACTGAGCAACGGTGTCACCAGAGTGCCTTCTTCTCACCACAGCCCTACCCACAATTCCCGGCACAACCCTGCCCACAATGCACAACGAAGCCCCTCCATCAACTCGTCCCGTACGTCCCAAGCAGGTTATTCTTTTGCCATCGTCGTCATTATCATCATCATTATCATCTTGTACAAAACCATACAATCTAGATCCCACAATCCCGTGCAACCTGATAATGTGCTGTGCAGAAGGGTCATTGCCCGAAACGTTGACTGTATTATATATTTGTTTAAGGCCACAGTGTTAGTATTACAAATGTGTTTACTTGCTTTGGTTGTATGTATGTTGAACTTCTTTCGCACCGCACGTAGCCAACCGTGCTAATTGGACGTGCAGGAGTGGGACGACAAACGAAATACAAAAAGCAGTTTTAAAGAAACGAATTACTCGTGCGTGTGCACCAATGAGAACAAAGAAGCAGCAGCATCACCAACATCACTCATCATAGACCATATTCATTCTTGAATACGTGACCAGGAATCGTGATAATCCCTAGAATTACTCGAGGGAAGGTGGGAATCGTTTCTTTGTTGAATGATTGTGCGGCCCTTTTTCGGTTCACTGCCGGTTGAGGAGGTGCTTCTCCCCCCCTCCCCCCCCCCCCCCATCTGTGTGGATATTGGGGGGTTCTTTGACCATACTTCACCATTCTTACTGGAGTCGCTGTCCAAAGGTCGCCGGTTCAATTTGATCCCCCGGCGCTGCAGTTGAAACAACGGGGCAAGGTTTTTGTAAATCTCCCCCCCCCCCCCCCACCACCGCTTCTGTCCATCCAGCGGTATAAACGGGTTCACCAATAGTTTGGCGATCGGTAGATCACGTGCGGTTTGGTCAAGCGTGGGTGCTCCCCCCTCTTCCGAGACACCCTGGCCCAGCGTGCAAGAGTTAGACAAATACCCGCTAGCGGAGCTGTCCGGAGCTCCCTCGTGTGGAGGCTCCTTCCGCCGGCAGCAGCGTCAGCGGAGCACTCGGAGGGTTGCGCCTTTGCCCCTTTGGCCAAAGACCTCCGCTTGGGACGAGGTCATACTAACAGGTCATCGCAAGTAACAGGCCCCGGCTATCCAATTGAACCAACTGCCGTGTGTGTGTGTGTGTGTAGGGCGGTACTGCAGCAGTTAGCGTGCTTTGCAATGAACCTGGCAACCAGTAGCCTCAAATGAGCACCTGGTGCGGCGCGTAGTAAACATCGCCGCTCGGGAGACAAAGGCGGCCGAGCGCGGTGCTGACCGCCCACCCCCTCGTGTGCCGTGCCGGCCTTCATAGGTGCTGCTCGCTTAACAGCACTTGCCGCAACAGTCTGTTAAGGCTACACGGGGGATCTTTGTACATTGGTGCGTAGGGCGGGCTGACGACGCGGCCGAGAGGTCGGAGTCGCCGCTCCTGCCGGCGCCGGGCAGCCGGGACCACAGCCAGGACGGACGAGAGCGAGCACACCGGAGCAAGGAGCGCGGTGAGGCCACTCGCGACGTCGCCGCATTTTCTCTCTCCTCGTCTATTTGCCCAAAATCTCACGCCGATTTGCGCCATCGGCGCCGCGTCGACAACGGGACGAACGATCCACTTGGATCTCTATCGCAGCGCAAACCCCCCTTCATGTTAGAGAGCGGCGCACAGAAGCGGATATCACCGAGCTACCTCTGAGAGCTCCTCTTCCCCTTCTTCTTCGAGTGACCTCTGATCTACACACACACAGTAGATTGCAGCACTTTCCCGCTCACTCTGCACGATGAGATCGTGGTTCGTCCCATAGCGTGGCGCGCACATCATTGGCACCACCGCTCCACTCCCCACGATTTTTATGTACGTATGTTGAACTTCTTTCGCACTGTACATAGCCACCCGTGCTGATCGGAGGTGCGGCGGAAGGACAACAAACTCAACACAAAGTAGTTCTAAAGAAATTAGTTTTCAATTTAGATGCAAAAGTGCATTGTTCCAGTGGCTTCCTAATATCGGGAGGAAGAACGTTCCGGACGGCCGCAGAAGCGCATCTGAAAGCGCCGGGGCGATGCGTCGACCGTCTTTGTTCGACGGTTCGCCAAAATCCGCCGCTGCTGCTGCTGCGAGGATGACCGGAGTTTGCGTGATGATGGTTATGCTCCTTGAGATTTACGGAAGAGTGGGGGAGCGGGGGCGTGGGCAACGGGAGACGTGGCGACCTTAATTGAATTCCTCCTCCTTCCGGCAGCGGTGACAGCAGCGGAGCTAACCGGCGTGTCCCGTTCCGCAGACGTGAGCGGCGCTCGCGACGGCTCCGCGAAGGAGAAGCCGCCGACCTTCCCGTCGCACCCCATCAACCAGGCCATTTGCATCATGAGGCCGACCGCACAGGTGAGAGCGGAGGGCGTACGATCGTCACGCGCGCTCGCTCACCCCGCTGCAGTTTGTTGCGGCCACTCTCTCCGTTTGTATCTATGGGACCTTTTTTGTCAGCATCAAAAATTATGAAACAATAGAATAGTTTTTACCCATTCTGGCAATAAAACACCGACTCTGTATAACTTTTGCAAGGCCTCAAGTCTGCATTTACCACACATACTTGTGGCAAAACAGATGCGGAGCAACGACTACAGTGCCACATTTGGGTGGTCAAGCCAGTTTATCGCGTTGGGGGCAGCGGAATGCATCGCCGCCGATGTCTCTCCCTCGTGTTTGTGGATCGGGCCTTTGCGTCGTCACACGTCGTGCGGCCTAGTTCTGGATGACCGCAGTCGCACGCCCCTGGAGAGGTTTTTCACTTCCCCCGGTCGGAATGGGTGTCCCTCGTCATTCGACCGTTTCACCCGAACCCGCCTCCCCCACCACCGCTCTCAGGTGACGCCCGTGCAGAACCCTTCCGTTCCTCCGCCGCTGCTGGCGCCCCACTCGACCCCCTACTCGGCGTGCCCGTCGTCCCTCTCCTCGTCGCACCCGGGATCGCACCCGGGCTCGGCACACGCCGTCGGCAGGCGGAAAGAGAACGCCGGCGGCCTTCCCCTCCCGCCGGAGCTGCCCGGCGCCGACGGCCCAGCCCACGGGACCGGCGAGATCCGGTTGGGCGGCGGTGGCGGCGGAGGGCGGTTCATTTCCGCCTCGCCGCTCGTGCACCTCGGCTCGCCGGCGCTGCCCTCGGGTTTCGCGTCGCGCGGGAAGGCCGCCGTCACCGCCTTCGGCAACGGCGGCGGCGGAAGCGGCGGCAACAGCAGCGGCAGCAACAGCAGCCGGAGCAGCATGGAGTCGCCGGAGATGTCGAGGCTCCTGCCGCAGCCGGTGCCGGTGCAGGCGTCGCGGCAGGACGACTGCGCTACCAGCGGTGGACCGGGCAGCCCGTACATATTCACCGGCGGCGGGCACCCGCAGCACCAACAGCAGCAGCACGGCAAGACGCCGCTTCACGAGCATCCGGCGCCAGCGACGCAGCAGCAGCAGCAGCAGCAGCACGCGCCGCAGCAAGCGCCCCCGCTGCATCTCTACGCCGTGGAATCGGACGCCTTCCCCCCGAGCGGCAAGCTCGCGCTCGCCGGCGCCAAACCCCCGGCGTCGGAAGCGACGGCGCCGGCAGTGATGCCGGGCGGGGTGCTCGCCGGCGGTTACTGCACGACGCGGGGCGCCTTCCCCGCGCACGGTGCCGGCGCCGGCAGCGGTGGCGGCGTTCTGCTCACGCCCATCTACAACGGCGGTGGCGGGTCGGAGGCAGAGCTGAACGGCACCGGCTTGGGAGCTCCGAGCCACCAACACCAGCAGCAGCACCAGCAGAGCTGTTGCAGCAGCTGCAGCTCGTGCGGTTGCAGCGGTGGCTGCGGCGGCACCCGTGGGTTGCCGCTAAGCTACCCATACTTCCAGCCGTTCTCGACGCCGTTCATCGGCTTCCCGGTCATCCCCATGAGCAGTGCGATGTACGGCAGCTTTGTGGGCGCCGGCGGAAACCAGCAGCAGCACCAGCAGCAGCAGCATCAGCAGCAGCAGCATCAGCAGCAGCACCAGCAGCAGCACCAGCAGCAGCACCAGCAGCAGCACCAGCAGCATCAGCAGCAGCAACAGCAGCAACATCACCATCAACAGCCTCACGCGCAGCAGCAGCAGCAGCAGCAGGGCTCGTACGGTCAGGCAATGGCGCAGCAGCCCACGGTGGGCGGCCACGCGAATCAGGCGGCAGCTGCGTTCTACATTCCGTCGCCGGCGCCGTTTCCCGGGCACGAGCCGGGCTCCCTGGGGGCGCTGACGGGGATGGCTCTGCCTTACCAGCGCGCGGTGTCCGACGCGTACCTCTTCCACCAGCACCACCACGGCCAGCATCACGTTGTCCAGCAGCAGCAGCAGCAGCACCAACAGCACCAACAGCAGCAGCAGCAGCAGCATGTGCAGCCGGCGCTGCACTACCAGTACAGCGTGGGGCCCCGGCGGCACGGCGGGCTGCCGACGCTGTCGTGCTACAACTGCGGGGCGTGCGGTCATCGCGCCAGCGAGTGCAAGCACCCCACGATGGACACCAATCAGCAAGGTTCGGGCTGTCGTCTTGTTGTTGCTGTTGTTGTATAATCAGAATATTTCTACTGGAGGAATCCGATGAGCTATGAAGCTCTTTTTCACAGGGGCGGGTAAGAACGTTACAACAACAAACAATAGAAAAACACGAGAAAGGAGTGCAAAGCATAAGAAAGGTCAACAAATCACCCAAACACATACAAATTAAACTTAACCATCTCCTTCCTAACAGGCAAAGCCCCAGCGAGGTATGAACTTGTATTTCAGAAGCGACCTGACCGCAAATGATTGCAGCTCAACTAACTGGCCCATAATTTGGACATTTATAACGCCAAAATCTAAATAATATTAATGTGGAGGGAAAAAGCCGGCGGACCAGGAGAAAAAAATCCACGCTGCCACGGGGAGAACATGCAAACTCCAAATATATGAGCGTGTGTGTGGGCGGGCTAGCGGGCGGGGAGGAAGGACACGGTGCATTTGCGATGCGTAGGGCAAGGTTTGTTGTTGTCATTGTTGGGTGAGTGCTGTGATAACCGCCCGCCGTTGCTTTGTAGTACAGCAAGTGGATGGTTGCGAGTTCGAATCCTCCTTGGGATGGCGTGTGGGGTTATAAATAGAGTTCCACTTTGTGGAAGACAACAGTGGTTAGAGTTCCCCCCCGCCCCCCCCCCCCCGCCCCCCCCCCCCCCCCGCTGTAGGAATGTGCAACTTCCACTCATTTCCTGCTCATTCAAATTCAAGCAAGGAATCACTTTGACACCCATGTCTACACGATCCAAAGTGCCCGATCTCGACAGATCTCGGAAGGCAAGCGGGGTTGAACGTTGCCGGGTAGTGCCGAGCTGAAGCTCTTTGCGAGTTGCCCGTTGGTCTCCGCGCGAGTCTACGGGTCCCTTTGTACGTACGTTGAACTTATTTCGCACCGTACGTAGCCAGCGATGACGAGGACAACAAAAAATACCCGGTTTTAAATCGCAGGCGACCACCTGGATGCGAACCCAGGATCCCAGTCAGCAGTGGCAGCCCTCGAGCTCAGAAACTTTGAGCCGTCTGGGGTCCTTGATACTTTTACTTCACCGCTCCTCTCCGCCGGTTTGGCCCTTGCCGTCTTCCCAACAGGCACGTTCCGGCTCAAGTACGCGCCGTCGTCGGAAAACGTCGACTCGTCAGACTGACGACGCCCTCTGAGCCCTCGTCACGAGCGCCACGGGGAGAGAGGAGCGTCGACTGCCTCCCCCTCCATCCTCCTCCATCCACACCTTCCGCGGCGGTGTCGCCGATGTGGCTACGCAGCCGCCTGCCAGCAATCGCCCTTCACGCAAGAGGCCGGCCGGCCGCCGCGATTTGCCGAGGGATGACGTGGAGATGTCAACGTCGGAGGATTAGTGTTTATTTTAGCCGAGTTAAGACCGCGCGGTCCGTTTGGGGGCAGTTTTACGGCACGCGTCTCTTGGCAGTGGTTGCCGCACGGGGATTAAATTACTCGCCGAATATTTTGCCGGTTGCTGGCCGACCGGAGTAGGTCTCAAGGTAGGGGACCGTGCAGTCGCCATGGCCCGAGCGAGAGGTATGCTGGACATGGCGTGCCGGGTGCGGACACGATTTCCAGGTCACTTATCCGGCTTGAAGTCCTGTTGCCGAACCATTTGATATCGTGAAACAGTTTAGTTTCCCACATCTGGATGAATTTTCACCTCCGATGATCCTCTCGGTTGGGGGGGGGCGGGGGGGGACGTCCAATAATTTCACTCGTAGAGGTCACGTGACCCCCAAGGTCGTGTGTTCCCTGTAGACCGCCGATCGTCGTCGGCCACGCACGTTTTTCCTTTCGACAGACTCCTTGTTTCCACTTTGCAGACGGAACTCCGTCACTCCAATGCCGTTGCCTTAGCAAGTTTTGCCGCTTTAGCAAGCGAAAAAAAGCGCCGTCCTAAAATTGCCGAGCGCGTCGTGTCCCCCTCCCCGGAGTCGCGACCATCGCTTCACTTTTAACCAGGAGGAGAAGAGGCGGCGGTGGTGGTGGTGGTGGTGGGGGGCGGGGGAGAGCGGCGGGCGCGTCGAGACGCGCGACACAAACGTCGCCTCCTCTTTTGCAACAATCCGGCGACCCTGGGGGTGCGGTGGTGTGGCGGCAGAGATGCCACAGTTTACATAGCAACAAGAAGTGCTGTTGAAGTGGTTTTTTAAATTCGCCGCGCAACGGCCTTGCCGAGGGGGGAGAGGTTTTGTTTTTGTATTTTGCAGGCAGCCCCACCCCGCCACTTCACGGTCGTGAACGAGAGGAGGACATAGGAGGACATTTTGGGGCGCTGTGACGTTTGCGAAGTCACCCCGCACCGAGTTTTATTTGTTTTTTTCCCCCGAAGCAGTTTTTTTTTGCGAAAAAAGAAAAAAACACGCCGTATGGTATTCTCTTCGTACGGAACTTTGGGTGATCGTTTTGTACCCCGCGTGAAATGCATGCAGTCGAAGCTGTACATTTTTTTGTCGATTTGATCTTCTCGAGAGAGAGAGAGAGAGCGTACGCGCGTGGGTATTTTGCGAATGTTTGTAAAAAAAAAACGACGACAACACAGCAAAAATTGAAAGACTTTCTTCGACTAAAAAAAAACACGAGTGAAAAGTGCTTAAACGTAATCGCAAGTTTACAAGTCGGTCGATCTCGTGGGAAAATGTTGCGGCGAGCGAGCGAGATTACATTTATTTTAGTGAGGAGGCGAGCTGAAGCGCTTGCCGACCCCGTTTTCCCGTTTCGTTGCACGGATTGTAATCGTCAACGGCTGCAGTGACTGTTTTTTCCCCCCCCCCCCCCCGCCAAAATACACAACGGTTGCGTTCGACAAAGAACAACCACTTAAAGTTAGCGCGGTTGTTTTTGGAATTTAAAAGTGTGCACATTTAAACAAAAAAAACATATATACCTTTTTCATATTATAATTATTAATTATTTAATTCAAAATAAAAAAAGTATAATTTCTTTGGAGAGGAAAAACTAACTAGCATTTAACCAATTGTTGTCGTTAACATTGTTGACCAGTGATGCAATAGTAGTTTTTATTTTAATTTGTTGTCTCGCACGAGTCCACAGTGGCGCCTGTGGAGTGTTTTTGTTTGCGCTCATCGGTTGGATTTTGTTGACAGTGTTGATTCACACCCCCCCCCTACCCCCACTCCACTCACCCCCAGCTGATACAGGGACTCCTCTACTTACGAACGAGTTAGGTTCCAGAGGTCTGCTTGTCAGTCGATTTTATTCGTAAGTCCAACTTTACTCCTGTCGATTCCAAACACGTTGTGCGGCGTGTACACTAAAAACGTGGAATGGCTTTAAAATTGGTATAATCTCCTGTAGATGTAGACGCCACTGGATCCTCACGTTCCGCAGACGTAGATGCCACCGCCGCACTCTATTGCGCGGGGCGGTTGAACTTACGACTCTCGGTCCGAACAGGCAACTGGACATACGGGCAAGTTAAGTCGAATGCTAGTAAGTAGAATCCCTGTATTCCGTTCTATATGGGGGCGGCGAGTTTCTTAAATCCCGAGACCCTCCAAAACCGCCCGGTCGACCCGGCGGTATTAAATGGGTTTCACCACAGTCGGTCGGTCGGCCGGTCGGCAGGCAGGTCCTCTTTGGAGGGGTAAAAATGCGGGTGGTCCTTAACGTTTTGCAAGACCGTCTGGCAGCGTGGAATAGTAGGTCAAATACTCTCTGGTGGGGTTAGCGGGGGGGGGGGGCTGGGCGGCGGCGGGTGGGGCGGGGGGAGGGGGTGTTCTCTGAGGCCCCTTTCGCCACCCTTGGCGTGAGCGAGCACTTGCAGGGCTGCACCTTTACCTCTGCTTTTGAAAAGGTTGCTTTTGCACCACACTGAGAGGTGGACGTCCGTCCCCCCTCCCTCTTGTGAGTTTGAGGAATTGTCGTCGCCGTCGTGCTGCACTAATAAGACGGCGGGGGATGCACTTGAGCGACCGAATTCCCTTTCGATTCTTCCTTCGAAAAAAAGTGTCAAACTGCTCGCCATCGTTCGTGGGCATCTCGATAGCCCCCCCCCCACCACCCTCATCCCCCCCCCCCCCCCGCGCGGTTCGCACGTTCTTCCAAGGAGCCAACTCGCTCTTGATACAAAAAAAAACAACGGGCTCGATGATTCGGCTGGGCTCGTTCATTTTCTGCGGTGTAATTTTAAAAGTGAAGAATGGCATTAAAAGGGCACCTACCCCCTCCCCCATCACCCGTCTCCTATAAATAAATAAGTGGGTGATAACCCCACGTGCTACATCATTACGAGGAGAGCCTCGTAGCACAGATGTCAGGTTAGAAAACAATTTCCGAAGCGCAATTCAAATCGCTTTTTAATCCTGTAGTCTCGAGCCAAGGGTCTCGTCTAAATGTCCTTGACCCCGACGTGCCACATAGCAGGACAGTCACGCAGACGAGAGCCGCACAGACACAACGTTGGAGTGGTCAGGCGGGCACTTAACCTCGGATGGAGTTTTGAGTTTAGAAATTTGGGAGCGCCCCTGGGAGTTCGGTCGAGCTCCACTACCAGGGGGCCAGTGACGCCCGGTCCGCGTCCGCAGATTTCACCCCCCCCACCACCCCACCTTGCAAATAAAGTTTTGCAGTATTGAAAAGTTAGAAATCAGTGGGAGCGTCCCAGGAGTACTACTGCCTGGCTGCACTGGTAGGGGCAAGTGACCCCCTTTCCACTTCTGCAGATTTTGTTTTATTCCGGTTTCAAATGAAGCACTGAAATATTTAAAAGTTCGAAATCCGTGGGAGCGCTCTCGGGAGTACTTCTGCGTGGCTCCACTGCCACTGGGAGAGTTCACACCCCTGGCCGTTTCCGCAGTTTTTTTCTTTCTTCATATGAAGCTGTATGTGAAAAGTTATAATTGTTGCTGCGTCCTCCATCTGGGCGCACTTGGAAGGTTCCTGGCAGCCACGGTTTCACCACCACCCTTGCTTTTAAACCATAGATTCCGTGTTTCCCACTTGCGAAAGAGATTGGGCCACAATTCATGACCATAATTGCGGTAAGAATCTTTCAGCGGTGCGCAGTCTTATTTACCCGCGATATACGTTATGTGCCACTTTATATATGGTTTCCCCCTCTGCCCTACACACATACAATACACGTGAAAATTGTGAACACAACAGCGAAGGCGTTGCAAGTTTCAACTTTTATTGAGCTCCGGACAGTTTTATTGTGGGCGACTGCAGCTTGCAGTGTTTTCCAACACAGACCTTTTTTGCGTAGGGTGAGGGGGAATGAACGTCGACAACAGTTCTTGCCAAGTATTGTTTTTTTTACACGTATAAATTTTTTACGAGAGAATGTTACTATGAGAGGCCGTGAGAGAGACACCTAATTCCTACCACATTGATGTCTTGTGATATTGGGATTGATAGAATTTTAATTGACTTACCACAACGCCTGCGTCTGTGTCGTGGTATTTATTTTCTCTAAATGTTTATTTAATTTCTATTTTAAAAAATAAAGAAAAAATATTACAGAAACCAGGGAAAACACATTGCATTTTTTTTGCCACTTGTTTGTGTGTGTGTGGTTCGATTTACTGTTGGACTGTTGGGGAAAGTGCCGATGGCAAGTATCACCAATGAAGGCCGACACTGCGCACGACGGGGTGAATGGCCAAGCACCATGCCCGGCCGCCTTTATCTCGTCTTGCAATCATTTTAGGCTGAGTCGACATAGGGGAAGCCCAGGAACTGTTCAAATATTCGCCACCGTTGTTGGTGGTGAGCGAGAATCGAACTCGGGTTGTCGGGTTCGTAGCCTGGCGCGCAAACCACTGAAACGACCACTCCACATGCAGCTAACACTTTGCTAACGCTAACGGCACTTGATCCCAGTCTTTTGAAGGCTTTACGGGGGATCTTTGTCATCAAGTTGATTTCTTTCAGTCAAGTATGAGAGTGTGCAGTGGATGATTAAGAGTGGGGATGAAGAGTAAGCAGTGATCGAGGCTGATGATGCTGAACAGGGGAGGTGGAGCGATGAAGCAGATGGTAGCGCACTCCTAATGTGAGCCCACTGACCCGAGTTTCATTCCCCGCCACGGCTTATATCGGTGGCGAGCGGAGTGGAAGAAGGCAGCCTTCAGGCGGCCCACTGTCAAGTGAGAAATTACGACGCATCCCATCAACGCGGCGACCGAACATCGATTAATTATCGATCTCCCGGCCTCCAGAGCAACAGCAACAATGCCACGCCAACGGCGCTGTTCAGGGCCAAACAACAACAACGTGCCAGATAGGCCCTGGGACACGGATCCTCCAACTGAACATTGAGGGACTATCCCAAGGCGATGTGCCAGTGAATGTAAAACTGTAGCTGTTGCTCTGTTCTACATCAGCCATGCGAAATAAGAAGTGGTGAGCGATGTCTGAGCCGGTCCTGGACCTCCCTCTAACCCACACCGACCAGCGTGGGGAATTATAACCAAGTGCTGCCCACTACTTTTGTGGATGAATGGTCACTTAAAGAGGTTTCCGAGGTAGTACTCTGACATCCGCTCCCGCGTGCCGTTCTCTTGCACGGAAGGTGGCACTGCTCTGCAAGAGTTTCCGAACGGATTCTTCTCATGGCGTGGCACCTCCAGCTCAATCCGAATACAATTGTGGAGGGGGGGGGATACTTGTCAATATACTTCAGATGTCATGGTCACTTCCCCAATTCCAATCACGATCTGGCCGGGTGGTGGCGGTGGCTATGCACGCTTGTAATTCAGCGCTGTGGAGGCGAGGGATGGTGAATCACACGTCATCAGTGAGGGCTGCCACACCCGCCCTGCAAGGGCTGTTTTCACACTTATCTTGTGTCGGGCGCCGTACTAAAGGCCACCAGGGGCCCCCAGTGGCCCGCGGTCCTTACAATGAATAACACTGGGATAGAATGTTGCACCCTCGCGCGTGGGGTTTTTTCTCCAGGTGTTCAGGCTCCCTTGCACATGAAAACGTGAATTAACTAATAACACCTGATATATAGGGGATCGCAGAGCTTTGGTTGGGGGCATTTGGTGCCGGGTCACTTCCTGGCTCATGGCTTTTCCCTTTGCCTGTGGGTCCTCCTTGAGCTTCTGAGTCATCCCCTCGCTCGTCGAGAGCGAGCGAATGCTGTGCGACAATTTACACGTTTAAATTGATCGTTGTTGTCAATCATCAGTGCTGATCTATTTAGATTATTTTGCTGCTATAAGTTTCCACATGATAAGCCACTTCGTTGAAATATCATTTGTGGCCGGGCTGCTTCTTAAAAAAGAAGTGCATGGCTCAGTGGGCTTTACCTGGTAAGATACAAAATATTTTAGTTTTATTTGTATACGTGTATATTTTAGTGATTTGTTTACCTTACCTATACATTGAAACTCATTTCGTGTCTTTGTGTTGTTTGCTGTTGTAGAGTTCTGACCCCGTGGCCCCTACTGAACATCTGTGAAAAAGAAGCTCATCACCTTCCTCCAGTATACATAAATATTCTGATTCTGTTAAATGAAAATCAAAGTGATTTCCTGGCTCAAATGAGCATGGAGGCATCGGTGCTCTCCGATTACATCTCTGCAGAGCCAGTGGTGGAAATTCCCCATTCTTATGGCGAGGGAGAGTCTATCCATAGGACAACCACTGTAGACTGTAACCACACAATGGTAACCAATTTATCTACCCCTAAGGGATTACCGGTTTGAACAAGGATGAAAAGATTTTTTTTAAATGCACTTAATAATAACAACAATCATGACCTAGTTACTGTGGCTTTCCCAATTACCACTTACATGCAACGAGATATTAAAAGTATTTGGCGATGCTGGCTGCTGAACTGGCAGTGTCGCAACATCACAAATAAAACAAACACTCAACACTTCCGTCAACATACTGTGTAGTGTGTATGGCAACGTTTCGGGCTGTGGCCCTCTGCGTGCTCCGATTTCCTCCCACATGGTTGCTATTAAATTGCAATATTCGAATAGTTTTTTTTGTCGGTGACACCGCTTGCAAAAGGGGCCGTCCATAAATGACGTCACGCACCCAAGGGGGGGGTCAGACATGTGTGACAATGTGTGACGAGGGGGGGGGGGGTGAAATGTGACGTCACATCAAAATGCGCAACTTTAAATAAATATAGACATCACGTTCTACTTAATTAAATACACTTTTTGATGTTTTCTCCTACAACATCAGAGTGCAGCGTCACATTAAATACGCACTACAATGACAATAGTTTAAAGCGATTTGAAGCATTTTTTTTGGGGGGGGGGGGGCAGAGCTCTGTGACGTCATATTTTAGGGGGGGGTCTGACTTTTTGTGACGCCGTGTGACAAAGGGGGGGGTCAAAAAAATCGTCCAAAATCACGTGACGTCATTTATGGACGGCCCCAAAACACAAACAACGAGGTACAACACAAACGCGTGCCCTTGTGTGGTCCTTGATCGGCGACGTTTCGGCGTACTTTCCCTCGTTCTTAACACGTGGACACCAATCCAATGCTGTGCAGTTAATCGGGAAAAATTAAACCACTTTGCATTGAGGGCGGAGGGAGGGGGCGTGGAGTGGTGGGAGAGCGGGGCGTGGAGAGGGCGGGGCGTGGAGAGGGCGGGGCGTGGAGAGGGCGGGGCGTGTGAGGGGTTCAGAGGCGTTGAGGGGGCGTGGCGTGGGCGGGGACAGAGGCGTAGTTGAGGCTGCGGGCGAGTAGGCGGGGCGTGTGTGGGGGGACAGGCGGGGCGTGACGGGAGAGGGGCGTGGTCAAAATGTGTCGTCCGCCGTGACTGGTCGGCGCATCCCCCTCCCCGCCCCACCTCGCTAACCGACCAATGGGAGCGCGCGTCTCACACGACAAACGAGCCCCGCCCACCCCCCTCCCGGTCAGGGCCTGGTCAAGTGTAAAGAAGTCTAGGGGGCCTTTAACTTGTCGCAATACAATCTTTTGGTGACGGCGCGCGCGTGTCTTAAAAGGATTTTGGGGTTTTTTTTTGTCAATGTTTTTATTCTAAATATAAATATATAGACGTACGTTTCATACGTGTACGTACCATTATTATTGTGCTGGTCTCAATTATCGGGACGTCTTAGCCTTCGTAGAGGATAGCGGCGGCGGCGGCGGCGATGCTGATGAAGTCCCGGCTGGAGTTTGCGGCTCAAGGGCCCTGGGATCCACATCGATGACTTGGGGTTGATGGGACAGGCTGGGAGACCGTCAATTATTTGATCGTCGTCGTCGTCGTTATCGTCGTAGTTAGTTATTCGTCACGAATCACCATTGTCATCAATCGTCGTCAGTGGCGGCTGCTGCTGCTGCTGCATTGTCTCGCTAGCTCCGGTAAGTGAACGTTACATTTACAGCGTTACATTACAACATATTATTACAACGTTACATTACAACGTTACATTACAACGTATTATTACAACGGTACATTACAACGTATTATTACAACGTATTATTACAACGTAACATTACAACGTACTATTATAAAGCGCTGTTACAACGCGATATTATTGTCAACGCTTAGAGCAGCCGTCAGCGTCGCGGGGGACCGTCCGAGGTGGTTGTTGTCGTCCAACACTCGCTGTGACCACCACCACCACCATCATCACCACCACCACCATCACCATCCCCTCGTTATTTGTCTCGTAAAGCCCCGCTACGTGCCCTGTGCAGCAGCCACGTCTCGTCAAGGCTTGCAGGAGAGTGCCGCTGCTCGCTGTCAGTCGCCGGCGCGGTCGTTGTGGTTGAATTGGGGCTTAAATTGATGCAAGTTACACGCTCGAACGCGCGTGTTTGTGTTGTTGTGTTGTTAGTGTATTGTTGGTGTGTTGTTGTTGTGTTGTCGATTTGTGGCGCTTGCGAGTTTACCACCAGGCCGCGGTGAGCTTAACGCTGCTGCATTGCCGTGTCCCTGGCGGTGTGTACCTGTGTGTGTGTGTGCTTAGGATAAAGTATATTTTGTAAAGCGTACATGACTGCGTATTGTGTTGCGACGGAGTGTGTCGTTTTAACATGGTTAAGGGGAAAGTCCATTTAATAGCACAGTCATGTGTGCACTAGTTAAATGCATTATGCACAATTGGGCTGGTCTGCTCATAGTGTTTTCAATGGTTTCGCTGTCATCATCATCATCCTCCTCCTCAGCCATGATCAATCCACCGCTGAATGAGGGTCTCGGCCGAACCGTTGCCATTATTCCCAACCGGATCCTGCGGCGACTTAATACTGGGCGACCTGCTTGCTACATCTCTCCCTTGACTTGCCCCCAACCCACCCCCACCCCCTCCTCGCCCGCCGCAGGAACGTGGAATTTCCACCGATGCTGCAAACGGGAGGAGATGCCTTGAGCATCACTGGCTCAATGTTCATCGCGGGAAATCGCTCTCATTTTCCTGCTCAAATGAGCATTTAAATAGCGCTCAAACTGCGGCGTTTGATTTGCTACACGTGGCTGTGTGTGCTTACGCGGAGTCCTGTGTACATTTGATCGGCATTCGCTGGTGACTTGTGGTTTTCGTTGCCTGTGAACGCGGGTCTTGTGTGTCCGGGTGATGTGCGTGTGCTTACACGTGCGAGCTGGGCCGCTGTGTGTATAGCATTCTTGGTAATAGCAAATAGAAAAATGTATGTTCGTGTGTGTGTGTGTTTGAGCGTTCGTGTGTGTGTGTATATTGCTTATTGGGTACAATATAGGCGTGTGATCCTGAGTGTGGCCTGTTTTATTTAACTGCGCCGTGTATTCGCAGTGCCGTAGTTTTTGACATTTGCCTGGGTGTGTGTGTGTCTGTGTGCGTGTGTATGTTATGTGTGGTGGTGCAGCCTCAAATGAGTACCTGGCGCGGTTTTGTAAAACATCGCCACTGGGGGAGACAAAGGCGGTCGGGCGTGGTGCTGGCCTACCCCCACCCGCTCGTGTGCCGTGCCGGCCTTCACAGGCGCTGCTCGCTAACAGCACTTGCCCCCACAGTCTGTTAAGGCTATACGGGGGTTTATTTGGCTCCGTGCGCGTGTGTGGGGAGCGGTGGCGAAGTGGTTAGCGCACCGCGCTACCAACCCGACGAACCGAGTTCGATTCCCGCTCACGGCCAGCATCAGCGTTGAAGAGACAAAGGCAGCCGGGCTGCCTTTGTGCGGTGCCGGGGTCATAGATTCTCGCTGACAGCACTTGCGCACTCAGTCTGATAAAGGCTATACGGGGGATCTTTATCTGTGTTGTGCGTGAAATGTAACAACTCTTTTTTTTGTCAATCATTTGCTGGTTGCCGGCGTTCGGGGGTCGTGGGAGTTGTGCGAGCATACTTCACCACGCTGGTCGGTGCGGGCTTTGGCCAAGGGGCCCAGAGGTCGTGGGAGCATTGAAGTGCAGTGCAAGTGTGCACGCAGCGTAATCCCCACAGCCTGTAACATCTGTTATGCACAGTGCTCGCCCACTCAAAGTACGGTGCCATCACTGCCACGCTTCCAACAACTGTTAATCAATACGTTTGTGGATTTATATATATACTTACTGTGTATGGGTATTTGTATTCGTCTATTTGTGCATGGGTTTTATCCGCAGTGTGCAGTCGTATGTACCAAGGGTATTGGTGTGTGTGTGTGGATTTAAATGGGTATTTATGGGTATGTGTATTTACGGATGTTTATGACTGGGCATGTGTCTGCAGTATGCGTTAGTGTGGCATATAGGGTGTAGTTTTAAGTACGTGTTTTATTATATATGGAGCACTATTAGTAAATTGCCAATTTTGTTCTGCCCTTTGTCAATCCACTGCTGGATGAGCATGCCAGTTGGTGAAAGGTGCAGTGTGGGATGTGGTTATATCGGACCTGTTCACATATCAATGTGTTAGCCGTGGCCAGGAATTGAACTTGGGTGGCTGAGCTCATAACACAGGTTGCTAACCACCATGTGCACAGCCAAAATCGCTGCAGTAATAAAAAGGTATATATATACTACATTATATGCTTGGTAGGAAGTACACAATAAGAGCATCATGTATCTACAACTCAACCCCACCAGAGGATTGTGGAATTTCCACCACTGCCTCAGGGCTATGTGCAAGAGATAAGCACCACCCCATACTACGAACTTGTTTGACTTGTTTGTGTATTTTCGGGTACAGTATTCGTGTCTGTGTTCTTTGACTGTGAATGCTTATTCTCAGTTAGTCCATGACACCTGGATCTCTCCTGTGACCTCTTGCCAGCCAACCTTGGACACTTCAGCTCACCTCAAAGTGCACCTAGCCAAGCACCGTGGTGACGTAACTGCCACTGATAGGTTGTCGTGAAGTGGGTATGTGCAGTACAAAGTATGTTGGAGGACAATCTGCTTCGATGTTTGTGTGTGTGTGCGCGTGTGCGTGGACCCGTGGCACCTGGGTCTGCCCCGTGACCTCCTGCCAGCGGGCGTTCGACGCTTCACGTGGCCTCAAGGTGCACATGGCCTGGCACAAGCGGTTGTTAATGGCGGTTGTTGTGGAGCTGTAATATCGTGGTTAGCGCGCTGTGCTACGAACCCAGCGACCCGCACTGGATTTTCCGCTCTTCGCCAACATCTCTGACGAATATCTGAAGCTGTCCCTGGGCCTCATCTGAGTCGTCTCAGCCTCACAAATAAGTATCCGGTACGGTGCGTAAACATTGGTAATGGAGGGACGAAGGTGGCCGGGCTCGTTGTTGGCCACCCACTCCCACGTGTGCCATGCCGGCCTTCATGGGTGCTCGCTAACGGCAATTGCCCCAACAGTTTGTTCAAGTCAATGCGGCAGAGGGGCTTTTGTCTGTGCGCGCGCGTGTGTGTGTGTGCGTGCTTATGTAATTTATAATTTATACATGCGTGTTTGTGCGCAAGTATCTGCATGCACACGCTTGAGAGTAGCGCATCCAACCGCAGAGATAGAGCCATTAACGCCGCAGTTAAATCGGCTTCGTGTTTGCGGGCGCTGGACGGATTGTTACGTCACAGAACCATCGCAAGAGTTCGCTGGTGGCTTTGGGGGAGGCCTTCATCCAGCAGTGTATTGATCCTGGCTGCTGATGGCGATGATTGCTATTGAGGCTGCTCTTTAAAGGGCCGTCATATTCCATCGCCAACGTCTCACTTCTGTCAGGCGGTAACTGATGCATTACAATTCAGAGTCCCCGCTGATGCAACACGCAAGTATATAATTTCACAGTTAAGACCTTTGGACAAGGATTTGCGCGCACTGTATAGATAACGCTCTTGTTCAGCCGTGTGGCAAAAAAAAAACTGCCACGGCTGCAGTTCTTACGCGTGGAGTACCTCGCACTCAGCGGCATGGTTGGTGGTGGTGGTGGAGAGCGGTGGTGTCGCGGTTAGCGTGCCGCACTACGAACCCGGCGGCCCGAGTTGGAGTCCCGCTCATGGCCACCAACACCGGTGACGGATATCTGCACCAGTCCTGGGCCTCCCCTAGGTCGACTCGGCCTCAAATGAGTACGTGGTGCGGTGCGTAAAAACATCGCCCCTGGGGAGACAAAGGCGGTCGGGCGTTGTGCTGGCCTACTACCCACCCCCTCGTGTGCCGTGTCGGCCTTTATAGGTGCTGCTCGCTAACAGCACTTGCCCCAACAGTCTGTCAAGGCTATACGGAGGGACCTTTGTCTTTTGGTGCCCACCTCTGACGTGTGTGTGTGTGGGTGGGGGGTGAGGCTTTCATCCAGTTGTGGATTGATTATGTGCGGGGATTGACAAATTATATTTTTGTTAGAATACCAAATTTACTCTGCCCGACTCTGTTCTCTTCATTCTTCTGCCGCTGCTACCATGGCGACCATTCCCGGGAACTTCACTGATCGTTTGTTCCTCCACCCATGTTGGTTGGGACTCGCTCCCTCTGCCAGAATGACCAATTCGCATCATCCACGCTGCGTTCGACCAACACTGCACGTCACAACGCTTATCTCACTGTCTCTGCTTCTTCCCTCGCACACCGCTCCACGTAAAACTACGTTTCATTTTACCAGGTAAGTCTCCACTAAGCTGTATAGCTCTTTTTCAGACGTGACCTGGCTGGCTATCACAAATGGTAGCTCAACGGAGTGGCTTATCATCACGTGGATATTTATAGCACGACTCTAAATGTTGTGGGAAAAACCGGAGGGACTCGTAGAAAATCCTCGAGACCACCACGGTGAGAGAGACACCGCAAACTCCAAATATACAGGCGTCAGTCAGGTAGAACCCACGACCTCCTGTATACCGGGCGAGGTGGTTAACATCTTGCCACCGTGGCCTGCCCACATTTGAATTCACCTCCGTTATTCGACTCTTTTCCCAGTCTCCAATAACCTCACTCAATATCCAGAGG